GGCAAGTGGAATTCATTGAGGGATTTGACAGTGTGATTCATATTTTAAGTATTTCAAATATAGGCTATTATATATGCTACACGCACGCACAGATGTTTTTTTTTCTTACCATCTTTTGGGGGTTTCTTGCTTTTAGACTAGTCGACTAGTCGGATACAAAACTTTCGTTTAAACGACAGTCAAATTAGTCGTCGCCCACATCCCTAGTCTGAAATGAGTTCCGGAATGTTTAGCCATCTGGAGTTCAAAGTTGAATTCTGGAGCGTTTAGTCAGTGGAGATCTAGAAAAAGTGCTGGATTATTTAGTCAACTGGAGTTCAAGGTTGAGTTCTAGAATGTTAAGTCAGCTGGAGCTCTAGAATGATTTCTGAAATGTTTAGTAAAGTGGAGTTCTGGAAACACTTTTGCAACATTTAGTCATATGAAGTTCAAGGATGAATGTTTCTGGTGAACTGGAGTTTAACAACGAATTCTGGAACGTTTAGTCAGGTGGAGCTCAAGAAAGAGTTCTGGAATGGAAAGTATACTGGCGTTTGAGAATGATTTCCTAATACTCGTAATAACTGGAGGTCTGAAATGAGTTCTGGAACAGTGAAATTCAAGAAAGAGTTTTGGAATGCGTAATCAACTGGAGTTCTAGAATGAGTTCTAGAATGTTTTTGCAACTAGAGTTCTGTAATATACAAACTGCCATTCTGAAAAGTCTGAGTATTCTTGATGTGAAGTGCTGACTGTGTTTATTGTAGCTGGATCTTTTGTATGGCTGAATTGAGTTTTTTTTTTTTTTTTTTTTTTTAACATTATTCGATTTCCTTACTGTTCTTTGACCAGAATCCCTCAAGGTTCTAAATAAGCTACGGTAAATTGATTACAGCAGTGTTTTTAGCTGTATAAACTACATCAGTCTTAACTAAAAACATCTTTATTAGATTCAGGCATATCAGTGTTTCATGGACACTCTCAAGGTGTTGTCAGTTAATCAGGACACAGCACTTGCTTTTAGTCTGAGTTTGATTAGTATCAAGGTATCGATTTACACCCGTTTGTTGTCCATTTTCTCATGACAGCAGTATAGAAATATCAGTTTCAAGTTGTGCGCTTAAGTGGGCTAATAAATCTTTAAGTGAAGTCCATCTTATAAAATGGTTCAAACCTGTTCTTGAATTGTCCCTTGTTGCTCTTATTTCTCAGGTTTGGGCATGGTGACCCCAATAAACGACATGTTCAGCATGGAGTCCAGTACTATGGTGAAGGGAGAGAAACAGATCCGCTGCAAACTGGCCAGCCTCTACAGACTAGTGGACCTGTTCAGTTGGGCCCACTTCACAAGCTGTTACGTTACAGTAAGGCACAGCATATTATAATTAATATCGCTGCCACAGATTAAATATTATACTTGTTTTTGGTGTCAATATTGTAGAACAAGGAAGTGAAAGTGAATGATGTACATTGTGTAATCCAGGGTTTCGCAATCTATTCCTGCAGGCGATAAACATTATAGTTCCACTAATCAGACACTCCCAGTTTAATACATGGAGAAAGATATCTGCTTTCCCATTCATCATCAAATTAAATTGTTATTATTAAATTATACATGTCTACTTTTGAATGGCTGTTAATGGACAAAGATGCTTTTTGTCTTCATAATGCTGTAGTTACAGCATCTGCACTCCTGCTGAATAGCTTAACCAGGTGTGCTAAAGAAGGAAATATCAAAGTATCCGGATGCCTGTTGGAATAGATGAAGAAACCCTGAGCTAACTTGATCAGGAGAGGAAAAACAGCTGCTTATTTGTGTGTTTTAAAACTTGTAGGTTCGTGTCAGTAAGGAGCAGGATCATATCCTCATCATCCCCAGAGGACTGTCCTTCGCTGAGGCCTCTGCGTCCAATCTGGTAAACAAACTGTCTGTCTTGCATTATCATGGCAGAGCCTGATAGCGGTTCTGGGAACGGCTCTAGCATCACACCACAGGGCTGCCGGGGTCACTTTGAGTGGTGGCTTTAGTTGAACTTACATTCCAGTAAGACTTCAAATAGATTGGATTCAGGCTTGTGCGGTTCTTACCATCGGAATTCATTTATCAGTTGGTTAAATGATAAATAATCACTTAATGTTTCCGTTTTGATAGCCAGGTGATGGAGATTTACCGCTGATTACAGAACCAGCTTTACTGATAAGATGCGCGTTAAACATCGCATGCGATTTATCGTGCAGCCCTACTTCAGGTTATATTTTGTGCTGCTTTGGCTTTTTTTTTTTTGTGATCTAGCAGTCTGATTAAATTATTAATGAGACAATAATATTGCCTAGAGCTTAATAATATGTGTTTTCCTTTGTGCGTTTGGGATTTTTGCAGTCTGATATGTGCTGTGCACAGAGGGAATGCATTGGCGGACCTTGACTGAGCTCAGTGCTCGTTGCCAATGTGTGGCATGTGCTTAATCAGCCGGTTATTTCTTTGAAATCTCAGAGTGGGTTTTGGATTTGTACTAGCTTGTGTGTTCATGTCCGTCGGAGGCTTTTAGTGCCTGTAGTTGTTCATGCTTATTATTTTCTTATCGTATTGCGGTGGTTCTTAATCCTGGTCCTGGAAAACCCCAGCAAAAAAGCCCAAAGTATACTGTGAGTAGCCAAACACGTAGCCCATACACCATTTGATAGCATGTGTGAACTCAACACACTAGAGCAGGGGTGGCGAACGTCGGTCCTGGAGAGCCGCAGCCCTGCAGAGTTTTGCTTCAACCCTAATCAAACACACCTGAACAAGCTAATCAAGGTCTGAACGGTTATTAGGAAGCTACAGGCAGGTGAGTTTTAATTAGGGTTGGAGCTGAACTCTGCAGGGCTGCGGCTCTCCAGGACTGGAGTTCACCACCCCTGCACTAGAGTGTACTAGAAAATATCATCTTTGTCCAGTGTCTGTGCTATATCTCTCCAGAAGTTATGAACGGTTAAAAATGTCTTTGTACTCATTTAAACTAGAATTGAGTGTATATCTTAACCCACACAAGCGCTCATAAACACGAAAGTCTATTCTTCATATTCGCCTCCAGTAGTTTTTCGTTCCGTCTATTCTGGTTTTTTCAACTGTGAAAAAGCCCTAGATATTGTTGCCACCTTGTGGACCAATTAATTTGTGCAAAAACACTCAAGGTGTTTGTCTACACTTGTTCACACTGGATCTGGAGTCAAATCAGATTCTGTTAAAGTCAAAGCTTTTAATATGTTTATAGCTAACCACCCTAATAACAACACACTTTTGAAGGTAACATGGTAAGTACCAAGGTTTTTTTTCTTACTACCGCCATATAACAAAAGTGCACATGTCAAGTTTATACAAGCATTTGCGACTGCATTTACGCCCTTGCTAAGAGTTCACTTCTGGCTCATATCTGCAAACCACAAGTTAGTTGGTGACGAATAGAACCGAACCAGTTCTTGAGGTTTCGCTTTTGAGCGTTTTTCTCTCCCGCTCGCGTATTAATGAGTTTTGACACGCTGCTCGTGGTGGATGCTGTTTTGACAAATTCCTGCCAATCGGGTGATTTAAAACTGGAACAGATTTGTGAAGCACATTTGTCCTCCTGCATGCAGCATTTATGACTCGGGGAACAGAACTGAAAGCGCTTGAGGCGAACAGTGGCAGTATCCACACTCTTGTGCTGGCTAAAGCTGTTTTTAATGCAGCGCTATGCTGAATTGTGTTTGGGCTTGAGTTACGACCAGTGCCACAAACACATTTTTCACAGTCATGAAAAATACACTCAGTCATTGTGCCATTTCAGGATTAGGGCAGATCAGATTTTTTGGTCGTTCATAATAGGTGCATGTTGACCTTTTATGCATGGATCAAAGCCAGTACAGGTTTGTCCAGTTTCTTTTTGTTTTCATGGACAGTGAGAGTTAGATAAAGACCGATCTCGTTTGCATAGAGACAAAAAAATCCTGTATGTTCTGACTGTGTGTATGAGAGCGATAGAGCGAGATCTCAGTGTTGCTGACACAGTCATTCAGAGCTCCTGTTCTCCTCTTCTGTGGGCGTGGCCGTGGGGACGGTGCCCGCTGGAATGAGGCCAGCAATCTGGGTCAGAGTTTTATTAACCCTCTACACGATCACTCACTTTCACACTCTCCCTTCTACACTCATTTCACTAAACCCTCTTAACAGCGACATAACATAACATTAACACTAGATTTTAGCACTTCTTGAAGAGAAATGTCTGTGCCTTGATGCAGGGGTGTTGCGGGTAGTCAAAAGCCAAGTTTCTATAGGTGCGTCCCAATTTGGTTACTTATGCACTCTTCAAAGCCATTTTGTGGTATAAATAGTGTGATAATTAGATATTAGTAATAATTCCCGAAAAGTGTCTTCAAATACCTAGATGATGCACTTAATGATCACCATCAGAATGGTGTTGGATGGCAAAATAACCATATATAATTCATAATTCCTAGACTGTTGAGTATATAGTGCATAAGCTGCATCCCAAAGTACGCACTATGCACTGTGCATTTATACACTATGTACTTATGTGATATGTACTCAACCATGTAGTGTATGAATTTTATATGCAGTGCTGGGTGGTAACTGATTACATGTAATCTGGATTATGTAATCAGATTCCAAAAATTAAGCACTTGTAATTATTACATTTTAAATCAGATTACAGTTAGGCTACCTTTTATGGATTACATGATTACATATTGTTCTGGACAAAAACATTTCAAACCTGGAAGACTTTGGGTGTGTCATTGATGTTTCCATGTTTGTTCATGCAGTGAACATTCCCATGTTTTTGTGAGCTTGGTTAATATTGCAATAAGTTTGATTTTTATCAACTTACTACTATCACTTGGGCCTTTCCTACAATGCACAATAAAAAAAAATAAAAAAAACAATTTGGGGTATTATTAATGTTCATAGCCCACATTGTGCAGGATGGGTTACACACCAAAGTTTAAGACTACTGAAAAATAAAAGTATGGGCACATTAGCAAAGTTTTGCAGGCTAAAAATGTCCATTATATAATGTCAGTAATGTTTCAACGTATGACGCACATCTCACACAGACGTCACTTTCAAACCAAGCAGCTTTCTGTTGGTCAACATGGTGAATTCAACCTGAAGCTGTTGAGAAAAATGCATGGGGAAGTTCCCAATCTCATGGATTTCTATGGAAACGACTGGATTTTACCCATGAAAACCTGCCAAAGAACAGTACACGTGGCCGCATCTTAAGAAGTGTGTTCAATTCCCTAACCGCAGGTATGAGCAATGTTGATTAGTAGTGTTTTGCTAAAGCAAGCATCACTGTAACTCTTACATAATGTGGCATGAGATGTCATGTCTGTGGAGCAACTGCTGTAAACCGTTCCAAATGTTCATGTAACAGGAAATGCAACTTGTAGTTTTGTTTTTGCCTTTTTATGCTGCTTATGTGCCCTGTTTGAAAGTGTTTATTTCACTCCATAAAAATCTAGGAATGTGCTTTATTTATAAAGATGACTATTCATGTTTTTGCTGGACTGTTTTATAAGAAAGATGTCAACAGAAATCAAACCACACATAAGTTTAGTTTTCCTCTGGGATTTACCTTACTCTTAGCATTTATTACATCATTAACTAAAACCACCTTTAAATTACAACTCTCTCTCCAAATGAGATGCAAGATCTCGTGAGAGAACAGCTAGGTCTTGTTTCAGTCCATTAGCATTAGTGTGGTGGCATAATGCAGCAGATATGTCAGAAACAGAAGTGGACCAACTTCCTGTGGGGATGTGCTAGTAAGCGCTGCAGTAAGAATTGCATGAGAAAGATGGGGAGTGTGTTTTTGTGTCAGAACAGTCACGTGATATCAGTGCCGTGTATAAATATGATCTGTATGAGGCTGGGGAGTATTTCCCCATTGGTCATCATCTTTTGACGATACCAGGAACTGGAGGCTTATTTAAAACATTAACTGAATCATCCACCGGTTCTCTGTGTATCTCAGATGAGGGTTCCTTCAGTGTCAGGATTAATAGGAAATGAGAGATAGTGTAGGATGTGGAAATAAAGAGCGATCAGATGCTGTATCTGTGCTAATATGAATTTCTTTAATAAAGCTTATGTAGCCTCACAGTTTTTGGGGTTTTGGGAGGGTTCAATGTCTTTAGCCTACATTTTTACAATCATCTTCAGTGATAAACTCCATTGTGTTTCTTTGATTCTCCAGGTGAAGGTGAATATTCTCGGTGACGTGATCGATCAGGGCTCCACCAACCTGCAGATCGACCCGGCTGGCTTCAGCCCTCACGCTGCCATCTACTCCGTGAGACCTGATGTGCGCTGCGTCATTCACATAAGCACACCAGCCACTGCTGCCGTAAGTCTCCGTCCAGTCATGCCTGCTTCTGCTCCACATGCTCTATCAACATTTCCTAAGTAATATGTAGCTGAAATTGACATTATAACTGTGAATCACCGTGACTTGCATTGATCTCTTCTGTCATGTCAGGTGTCGTCTATGAAGTGCGGCCTTCTGCCCATCTCTCAGGAGGCTCTGATCCTGGGTGACATTGCCTATTACAACTACCAAGGCAGTCTGGACGAGCAAGAGGAGCGCATAGAGCTGCAGAAAGCCCTCGGACCATCAGCGAAGGTGAGCTACCTCCTGTGCTTGTCATTAGCTATGTTTCCAGCCACCTATTTTTATGCGCATTTTAGAATATCGCATAAAAAAACGTTGGATGGAAACACCAAGATGAGCATAAATTCGAAAAATGTACACACACAAAAAACCGTAAACGCTCAACTAAGTTGGATACATTTCTTAACTGGTGAGAAAACGTGCATAAACTACGATGGAAACACTTTTACCGAATAAATTCCTTAATGCGCATCAAAAAAGACATGTGACATAAAACTGGACCAACCAACGGACCGAAATGCTAGTTTTATCGTTCTAAAATTCTTGAGCAAAGTCTCGTCAGAATGCTTTGTTATAATTAACTCCCAGAACTGCGTTACCAAACAGCAGGCTCCGAAAATAAGATAACATGACCGTGATTCGTCTCTGCACTCTGAAGCTCGTAATTTATTGTATACAAAAATTATATACAGTGCTTTCTCCTACAGCAGCAAATTACATTTTTCTTCGTAATATTTAGCGCAAGTTAACCAGGAAGTGACAATTTTGTTCTCTTCAACTCGCTTTATTCGCAGATGTTTTATGCGATATTCCAATTTTGCGCATAAGTTTAATTCGTGACTTTGGATGGAAACATAGCTAATGTCATTGAGAGTGAAAGTGAAAAATGCCGTTTGTAAATGTGCTTGATAATTACGTATTTGTGGTGTGTGTTGCAGGTGTTGGTTTTAAGGAATCATGGGGTTGTAGCTCTCGGAGAGACCATTGAAGAGGCCTTTCACTACATTTACAACGCTCAGTTTGCCTGTGAAATACAGGTGAAACTTTCTTAATTCTCATAGACTTTCACAGTTTATTGGGTTTTAGTGAAGCTTTTTAAACACAAAAGTACACATGGCTAATAGAAAGTCTGGTGCTGTTTGGGTAATTCGGATGGCTGTAGTCCATTGAAACATAACTATACCAAGTTGTGTATATCTTATAGGTCATACTAGACTGACTCACAGGCATTTATTGAAGGGCAAAGAGCAACCAACATGTTAGTATTGTAGCACTAACTTGTCTGTAGAACATGTTTTTGGTCTGCCCAAGTTTTAATGTGATGAGACAATGATTACAAATTAAGCACAAACTTTGAAGGGCTTATTTTGTAAGACGGACCCAGAAAAACTTTTCCCCTCCAAATTCCATTTATTTTTTTCATACAAGTTTTTTTGTTTTGTTTTTTCCTTGTTTTAAATTTTCTGTTTTACTTGATTTACATTTTTCTCGGCTCTGTTTTAATGGTTAAATTCAATTTTAGTTATCAAAAAGCATGTCTAATTAATTGAAATCATGAAACTTAAGCAATTTAACAATTAAAAAAATTTAACAAATTAAATTTTATGAAATATTTATGGAAAAAGTTGAGAAGTTTTTATTATTATTATTATTATTATGTTTATTTTATTTATTTATTTTTCTATTTTTATTTTTGGTCAAATTCCTGTTTTTTTTTTCTTTTCTGTTTTTTTTTCTGTGTTCTGTATTGATGGTTTAAATAATATATATATATATTTTTATTTTTTACAATAAGTCCCTGTGAAATGTAAAGTTTTTTTTGTTTGTTTTTCAGAAATTCCATCTTGTGTATTATAATTTTTCTGGTAATCCAAATGAAGGTGTAAAACATGAACAATTTAATTAAATGTAAATTAAACCACCCCTTTAATTTTAAGGCAAAGTGCTGTGCAACAGAGGTTTACTGCTAAAATTAAATCATGGAAAATTTGTGTAAATGTTCCTTAAAAAATACCATTTTAATAATTAGTAGTAGTATTACACTAAGACATGCATCCTACTGTATCAGCATATTCTACAGTCTTTTTTCTAAGTTGAATTTTAATAAAATGTTCGTATTTATTTTATAATAAGTTTGTATTGTTTACTATGTGTCTGTAAGCTGATACGGCAGTAAATTTCAATAAAACCATTACATTTCTGTAAAATATCTGCACATTTCTCTGTAGGTGAATGCGTTCTCGTGCGCTGGAGGAGTGGAGAACCTGATCGTCTTGGATCTGGAGAAGTACAGATCTCGGACGCAGGGGGTGGCAGAAGCCGGGGTCAACATGGGCTCTCAGCACAAGTGGAGGCTGGGAGAGCTGGAGTTCGAGTCGCTCATGAGAATGCTGGACAACCTGGTAAGTGCTTGTGTGAGACTCGCTGCCAGTGAGAGACAGATACAGCGGACGAGTGGATATGAACTCCGCTTTAGACCAAGCCGTCGAGCCAAAAACAGCCCAAAGCGTCTGCTAAATGACTACTTACTACTAGTCCAGCTGTGTTTGAGAGGAATGATCACAGCGGAGAGACTGCAAAATCACTTATTTCTTCGTATTTTAGTCTTTTTCCGCCCTCCTTCCTCTCCTATTAGGCAGACGAACGGAGATAGACATAAAGAGAGAGAGCCAAACCTCTTCTCTCTTCTTTCTTTCTGTCGGTCTCTTTCTCCAGCTGTTTTCTCTCTCTCGGTCCGTGTGAGATAGGGAAGAACGCAAGCATGTGGAAAGTCTTTTTTTCTCAGCCGCGGCAGAAGAATGGAGTGATGTGGAAGATGATAATGATATGGTGTGTCGCTCAGTGAGCCGCCGTCACCAGCTCTCAGTGAACCAATACGGTTGCAGCGTTTGGTTACATAATGTGCTTGAAACGCAGATTTAAAAAGCGCCTTTTGTAGTTGACAATTTCTTTCTGCAAAGTCAGTTTCCAAGCAGCGGCTGATTATATAAACCAATTCAGTTGAATAATTCACAGTTGAATTATTCATTAAGCTCATTCATAAAAGGCATTTAAATAATTTAAGAATAGGTCTCGTCCTCATAGTTACTAAAATTTAACTGGTTTTTAATTTTTATATATATATATATGTGTATATATATGTATATGTATGTATATATATATATGTATGAATTGAAGCAATTAAATGATTTAGGACTAAGTTTTGTTTTTATTGTTACTAATTTGACTTCATTTTTGTATTATTGAATATTTAAATAATAATACTATTCAATTTATTATTGTGTATGTATTAAGAATATATACATTATAAATCATTATATAGTTATAAATATGTAGTATTTAATAAATGATTTAAAATGTATATATTAATGCATACGCAATATTACATTTAATAGTATTATTGACATTTTTAATGATACATTAAAATAAATGAAATAAAACATTCTAGTAAGTTAAATTTTTGTAACTACACTTTTATGAAAGAGCTTAAAATGAATATTTCATAAGTGCAAGTACTAACTATTGACTAACTCTCTCTCTCTCTCTATATATATATATGTATATATGAACTGCATAATACATTTTTATTAAATAAAATGTATTAATTAATAAAACAATTTATTATTATTATATATTTAAGCTCATTCATAAAAGGCCTTTGAGTAATTTATCTCCGAAAGCAATGAAATATAAAAATTGCTCATCTTTATATTTTCTAGAATTTGATTAGTTTATTTTTATTATTAACTGTAATTGTAATAGCATTATTAGTACTATATATTAAAATTGTTATTTTAAATATTTTGTGCATTTATCTTAATATTAGCATTTTAATTTAGTTCATTATTAATTATATTTGTATTTATCTTTGTGTTTTTTATTTATTTATTTGTAGTTTGGTGCATATTTGTAGTTCTTGTTCATAGATAGTATTTATGGGTTTTGTTCTTTGGCAAACTTTTTTTTCTGTTTCAACTATAAAATTATTTTGCATACTTTTTCTATTTTTCATGTGTTATAAACCTTTATGTTTTCCTTTCAGGGTTACAGGACAGGCTACACGTACCGGCACCCCATTGTGCGGGAGAAGCCGCGGCACAAGAGCGAAGTGGAGATTCCTGCGACAGTGACGGCGTTCATGTTCGACGACGACGACGCTCCACGCTTCCCTCTGAAGTTACTGCAGCAACGACAGCAGAGAGAGAAAACACGCTGGCTCAATTCACCCAACTGCTACATGAAGGTGAACGTGTCGGACGGGGCGAGCGAGGAGAACGGACGCACCAAGACCATGGTGAGGCTCAGCTCATCTCTGTTATGGCCATCTGAGATTTGTGCAATCCAGTTTTTGAATGGGAAAAAAAGGGAATTGCTGTAAAAGTAGTAAATCTTTCTTATCAGACAGGATTTTGTGGATGAGCAAGTATGTGGTTATTTCCTGAGCGTACTTTATGGCAGATGAAATGAACTCGTATTTCTGTCATCACAGAAACTTTTGAAGTCTCATAACTTCTGTCAGTTGACTGGAGGCCGCCACTGCCTTCAAGCCTGATGCCAAACACAGTTCCCTCCTGACCTCTAGTGGTCGAGGCTTTAGTATTACAGCTTTTGGCTGCATTTTTAGGGCCCTATGAAATTATTCTGAATTCCTTTTTTTTTTTTTTCCTGTTTTAATTATTCTGGATTCCATTTTAATGCTTAAATTAAATGTTGTTGATAAAAATGCATTTCTATTTAATTGAAATAATGAAACTTACATAATTTAACAATTTATTAAAAGTTTAAAAAATACATTATCAAAAAAAAAAACATTTTTGGGGCCATTTGTAACATCCTTTTTTTCCAAATTCTGTTTTATTTTTCCCAAGTTCTGTGTTTTCCGTTTTAATTGTATTTTAATAGTTTTTTTTAAAGTAATAAAAAGGCATGTCTAATGAATTGAAATCATGAAAAGTTGAGCAACTATTACATCTTTAGAGATGCAAATATTATTATTTTTTTTTTTTTTCAAATTCTGTTTTGTTTTATTTTCCTTATTTCCATTTAAATGGTTTAATAAAATTTTAATAATCATAAAACATGTCTACTCAATTCTCAATTGCATTCATAAAACTTTTTAAAATTGTAGAGCTTTTTATAATAATTGAGTCCTGTAAAATGTTTTATTTTGTTAGAAATTCTTTGATGTCTGTTTTAATTTTCTGGATTTATGACTCGATACAAATTAAAGGCATAAAACATTAACAATTTAATTAAACTTTTAAAATGTAGTCAAATAAAAATTTTATTTGCCAAACAAATTGCTGCACTGCAGAGGTTCTCTGTTAAAATTAAAACTAAGGGAAGAAATTGTGATTATAAAATAGTGTTAATAATTTAATTGTTATATTATTTATTTTGAGAAATATAATCTACTGTACAGTAGTAATATATTTCTGTCACAAGTTATAAACTTAACTATTATTTTGACAGGTTGTTGTGAACTTTCTGTTTATATATGATGATCGTTTTATTGGTGAATTGACTCTCAGAGCAGCTCTGGAGATGAAGTTCTTGTGTTCATGACCTCATGTAGTGAGAATGTACCACGAGCATCGTGCGTGTTTTAGTACTAACTGTGCTGCTTATTCACCAAGAATGAAATGTCAGAATTAGCCAAGTCTGAATCTAGCTCAAAACTAGACATTTGAGCATATGTTTTCATGGCAGAAATTTGTTCTTGGTGTGAATGAGTTTATTGACAGAATTTTTTAAAACTTTTTCAAAACAGCAGTCCCTAGACTTTTACACCGACTCTGAATGAAATCTCAGCCTGTATTTATCTTCCTGAATTCTGTACTAAATCTCTTTCTCTAACTCCTCCTGTGCAGTGGATGAAGTCTGATGATGGTGGAAACACCAGCGGGACTCCGATCCGCATTGAAGATCCCAACCAGTTTGTTCCTCTGAACACAAACCCCAGTGACGTTCTGGAGAGGAGAAATAAGGTGAGAAATAGGCAAATACCATTTTTGCATTCACACTTGCTCCAAAAGCAAAAGAAAAAATCTACAATAGCATTTCTGTGACTTTCCAAATAAAGAAAAAAATATATTGAGATTATTATTACTTGCTCATGCCATTCAAAACATCAGTTTCTTTCTTCTGTTGAACACAACAGATATTTGGAAGAATGTTAATAACCAAACAGCTGATGGTAACCATTGACTCCCGTCGTATTTTTTTTTATACTATGGAAGTCAATGGCTACCGTCAGCTGTTTGGTTGCCAACATTCTTCAAAATATCTTTTTTTTTTTTATGTTCACCAAACGAAAGAAACTCATACAGGCTTGTAAAAACTTGAGGGTGAGTAAATGACCGAAATTGAATGAACATTACTTATTTAAAAAAAATGAAACCGTAAAAACTTTACAACGCTAATAACTGTGGAAAAACCGGATCGCAGTCTGTTAAAAGAGTCCATCAGGACTCTTATCCACCATTTCATCGATGTCACTGAGTCTTAAAGAGCTTTCTTGTGATCTTTTCAGATTCGTGAGCAGAACCGCTTTGACATGATGACAGCAGGGCCGCAGTCACAGCGGCTGGCAGGGATTGTGGTGGAAAGACCGCCGGTGAGTGTCAGAGTGACATTACCATAAACACAGACCTCCGTGTCACTAGGTGGCGCCAGATCCTCTCAGAGACAATTGAATGGTGGTGAAATGAGCATCAGTTTAGAGTGAAAAGGCCTCATGTTTCAAAGCTAGGGATGAGCGATACCTCTTATTTTATTTTCGATCCGATACCGATATTTTCAAGCCCAGGATCGTCGATATCGATACCGATACCAATACCAATACCTCTAAACTAAACTAAACTGATCTTTTAAATTATTAAAAGAATATAATCAGTAATTATACTCACTTAATATTAGATTTT